GCAACCTCTGCCCTTCCTCTTCCTCCTCCCCCATCACGCTTCCTTGCTTTCATTACTAAGGCAACGGGGCCCGCGGTGATGAGTGAGTGAGCTGAAGAAGGCTGATGACTGGAGAATTTTTGAGGCGTTCTTCAACTTCCTCTGCTCGGGTCTGACTAACTCTTTACCAAGCAGCGCCTCTGCCTTCCCCTCTTCCTCCCCCTCAGGCGCTGCTCACGCGGGTGTGGGGGGGAGGGGCTCGCTTCCCTCCCTCACCCCACCTTAGTGGCCGCGGCCCCAGCGCGGAGGGGGCGGGGGTTGCCCATATTTAGAACGTTGGTGACGTCACTCTCCTTATATGGGCAGTGCCGTCAGGAGCCGGCGTTCCATTCAGATAAATTTCCTCCCCGGCGAACGGAATCCCCTGCTGCTTCGGTGGAAATGCAACGGCGGAGCGGGGCGCGCCGCAGCGGCAGGCGGGGGGATTAGGGGACCCGCTGTAACCGCTCAAGCCCGCCCGTTTAAGCCCCCGGTCCCTACAGCAGAGGGGACCCCCCCCCGCTCCCTTCCCATCCTCAATTTAAGCCACGCAAAAGCGAGACCCCCGTTCAGTGCAGCCTGATCCGCCGCCGGCGACGCTCGAGGAGAGGAGCTGCGGCCGGAGACTGCGATGAAGAAGGTGACGGCCCTCGACTGCCGCCAGCTCCGGAAGCTCCTGCGGAAGGAGCCTTCCCGCAGCCTGGTGCTGGACTGCAGACCCTACCTGTCCTACTCGGCCTCCCGCCTCCGGGGCGCGCTCAATGTCAACCTCAATTCGGTCGTGATGCGCCGGGCCCGCGGCGGCCCCGTGCCCCTCAACTTCGTGGTGCCGGACGAGGCGGCCCGGACCCGGCTGCTGCTGCCGGGGGAAGGGGCGGCCGCGGCGCGCCTGGCGGCGGTGATCGTCCTGGATCAAGGCACCGGGCACTGGCAGAAGCTGAAGAAGGAGAGCACGGCGCAGATCGTCCTCAACGCGCTGCTGTCCAGCCTGCCCGAGACCGGAGCCAGGGTCTGCTTCCTGAAAGGTCAGGGGGGCGATGGGAAGGGGCGCCGGGAAACTGGGGGGGGGGGCAGAAATCGGGGCTTAGAAAGGTAGTGAGAGGTGGGTAGACTAGAAAACAAGGGAGTGGAGGGGAGGGAGGAGAGCGCAGTGGAGCGGGAGCCCAGCTCAGTTATTTCTCTATCGACAAAATCAGATAAAACCCTCCAGCCAGTGGAGCCAAATAACAGCGTCGGTCCCCGCAGAGCAACATACGCCCCTGGGCTGGGGACATGAGCCATATTTTACACACGCCGAAGTTTCATTTCATTTGTTTTCCCCACCCTGCAAATCACCCCCTGGTAGACCCGGGCCTGTCTGTCCCTTGGCCCCTAGACGTGAGTTAAGGGGCGGATGTTAGGGTGGCTGAACCCACCTTTAAGGAATGAGAGCTAAAGTGCGCGCCTGTGTGTGTGTGTGGTTCATGACCATGGAACCAGTTGGCTTCAACATGGATATGAATTAGAGCCATCTGCAGGGTTAATGAGTCACACAGGTAAAAGTATGCTGGGCTGTTGCTAACCTGAACATTGCTGTTACCTGGGCAGTGTGTGCACGATTTAAATTACCAATAAGGGAATAATGGATTATTTCGCTTGGCAGTGTTGCTGAGTGTCTGAAATCCTCTAAAATGGTGGAAATTCTCAATCAGACATGTCATAACTCCTGTGTATAATTGAAAATCCAAGTAATCTGTTCCCGTGTTCAGCGGAGCAGAGAACACCTAAGTAATCTGTGAAAAACAGTGCTATAAAGACATCTCTGGGTTCTCTGGGGCCGCAGTAATTCACCAGCGTGAGAATCCAATGGCTGATGTCACCAATACAGTACTCCCAATGACTATTTATAGCATTTTCATTGCTGGTTTTTGTTTTTCTTTTGTGCAATGCCTGGGTCATAAAACGATAAAAATGAGCAATCAGCCCTTTCTTCTGTCCGCCCTGCTCACCTTTCTCCTTCATTTCTCCTTGTAACTCTTTAGTCCTTCTAGCCTTGCTTTTCCATTCCCTTTTTTTAAAATCCTGTCTGCCTGTGCTCTTCTCAATTGCTGTTAGTAAAGGGGAGTATGGAGGAGGGAAATCCATGTAAAGAAACAGAAGCCCGGTCCCATACTTTTTCAGTAACACTTTATCGTGTGGTCTTGCAGCTCTCAAGCTGCAATTTTCTATTCCAGAAAATAACAGAAGGTTTTATTCCTGAAAGGATTTTAAAATGTAAAGTGGACATTTAAAACAAAGAAAAAGGCTTCCATCCCTCCCAATAAACAAACAAATGATTGCAGCAATGCTGGGAAACTAGAGCATTTGTAAGTGAGCAGAGAAGTTGTAAATCATAGGTGATTGGTGTGAATTACAAACTTGAGAATATGTCCATTGATAAGCATGAAGCGTAATCTTTTATCAGGGGGTAGCGGTGTTAGTCTGTATCTACAAAAACAACAAGGAGTCTGGTGGCACCTTAAAGACTAACAGATTTATTTGGGCATAAGCTTTCGTGAGTAAAAACCTTCGGTGCATCCGAAGAAGTGAGGTTTTTACTCACGAAAGCTTATGCCCAAATAAATCTGTTAGTCTTTAAGGTGCCACCAGACTCCTTGTTGTTTTCATAATCTTTTAGTGACCACAGGGTAATTTGATCAGTTCTTCTGTTCACATAGTCTCATTGCAATTTGTGCATCATATAAGGAACAACACAACAGAGGGGAGTGTAGTTGCGTGAGATGCAGGCATATATTCCATGGTACAAGGCTGAAGGAAGACCCCCCATCACCCGAGATGGGAATATGTAGCACTATTATATCCTCTTCCCTTGGATGAGCTCAAAGCATTTTCCAAATGCCGAGTTAAGCTTTTCAACCTCTACCTCACAGGGGTGTTAAGTGACTTGTCCAAGGTCACTCAGGGAAAGCTGGGAAAAAGAGCAAGATCTGCTGATTCTCAGTCCTGTGTTTTAACCACGAGACTATCTTTTCCCTTGTAATGCACTGCCCCTCACCTCGTTGTGGGATATGTAACATATCTGAGGAAGAGTGAAATGCAGGGGTTTTATGGCAAAATGTTTTATATCCACTTGGTGTAGAAGTACTTTTCCTTAATTAGTAAAACTACAGACTCTCTTCCCTTTCGCCCCCCCAACCCCCTTTCATTTACAGTAAACACACTGGAAGCTTGAGTCCACCACACAGGAAAATAAAACATGGAGCAGCATTTAGGAAATGGTGTGGTTTGAAACAAGCCAGGCTGACTCAGTGGGCAGCTAGGCTGACTCAGTAAGGAGACAGACCCCTAGAAGTCACTGTGTTTCCGGGAGATGCCCTCTTCTGAAATGCCAGAGGGAAATAAGAATCACTTCTGAAACTCTCAGATCATTCATCAGAAAACAGTTTAATTTTGTTTTCTGTAACATTAACATTGCTGCCTAATCCCAGGTACAGGAAATGGATCATCCTGTTGTTTGTTGAAGGGTTTTTTTTCCTGGAAGCTGTTGCTGGCTTTGGTCGAATTGTGTTAAAAAATCATCTGACTGTGGAGTGAGGACATAAACACAAAGAGCAATAGGAGAGACCATTTCTCCCTGTCATCCTTGTTTACCATTCAAGGGGGTGGTGTGAAGAGAGGGGACACTGGCTACAGGGGGAAAGTGTGGCTAATTGGGACCTGACCCAGGGAGTTATGATGAGATAGAAGGATGAGTCAGAACTCTTGTCAGCTAATCAGTGCCCTGTACAATTCTATAAAGAATTGCTTTTAGTACTGAGTACATCTTGCCTGTTTGGGTGTTGTTTTTTTTGTAAGCTTCCCTTAACTTGTTAGCTCTAGGAGTTCAATGTGTCAGATCTTCCATGTGTGGAGGTGCAGTGTGTGTGTGTGTGTGTATGTGTGTGTGTGGGAGGGTCATTGAAGGGCACAACGTTTTTACGTTCCTGTGCGGTGGATTCAAGCTTTCAATAAACCACTTACTGCTGGGTAGTGGTACTAGCTTCATATAACAAGAATTACGCTAATTATTGATGAAAATAGAGATCTGTACTGTGCTTCAATGTGATGAGCAATCTAGTATTTGCAGACATGACCTCAAGGAAGTTAGGTTGGGTGGGGAGGGGAAGGAGGAGGGGGGAGAGAGATAGAGCTGGAGGACCAGATGAGAAGATGACTCATTTTAAGAATGGTCTGCAAATATCTTGATCCCCAAGGCTTGCAATTAACCATTTGCCTGCTGCACACATAGTCTGCCCAAGAGAAATCTGTGTCTCTGTCGAAAACGGATCTAGATTTCTCTTGGGCGGATTTCTATGCTTATTCAAGAGTGAAAACAACAATATGGGTCATAAATAGATATAATGGTTAAAATATATAAATAACATCGATTCTTCCTATGCAAGGCCAGCAGGAAGACAAGGAAAACTGATCAAAACCTTGACAGAGTTTTTGGTGTTTTTGAGAGGCAGGGGGTTTGAGAGGCAATTTCAAAGCATGGTTGTGGGTGAGTTTGAGGGCTTTTAATACTTACCTAAAGAGCCAACACTATTTGCCCTGGATATTGTTTTATTAGTCCCTTGAAAGCCCTGTATTTTATTTATTTATTTGCCTCCTGACCTAGTGACTTTCACTGCATACCTGGCAAAGGGCTGCACTGGCTTGCAGTAGGTGGAAAGGTATACTTCTGAATTATGAATGGATGGAATTACTATCCTTCTAGGGCCTGATCTAAAGCCCATTGAAGAAAATAGAAAAAATATTGCAACTCCAGCACCCGTGTTAAGAGCAGCATGAATTTCAGCATATGTCCTCTCAAACACTGCCTAGTATAAACGTCTGAGACACATTTCAGAGTAGCAGCCGTGTTAGTCTGTATCCGCAAAAAGAACAGGAGTACTTGTGGCACCTTAGAGACACAGGTTAAAAATCTTTATTTGGGTAGCGAATACATCCAGCTTTCTTATGCAGTCATTCAAAACTTTAGCACTTCTGTTGTTCTTGAGGAATTCCATTAATATGGCACCCTGCACTGACATAGGATATCCTACACACATAGTAGTATTAAACAGTTACAACTCAGCTAAGCATATCTTGCATTTACACCTCTACCCGATATAACGCGACCCGGGGTAGCGGTAATATTGGGATAGCAGTGTATTTGGTCTAGGGGCCTTATTTACTCAAGGGCCACACTCCTAAGGATTATTAAATTTACTGTTAAGACTTATTCTTCCTTTTTTCTTTTACTGGAAACTCACTAAAAGGTGCAATTAATAAAGTACAAAAATGGCTTTTAAATGGTTTCTGTTCCAACTGTTGTTCACATTCACACTTGAAAGTGATGTGCAGAATATTCATGGTGGTGAAATAGATGTCAGTTTAGCTAATGACAAACATTGAGTTACAATGTAATAATAGGATTAATTCCTTTTCATTAGCAATGCAGTGACTATAACACTGTACCTAAATGGTGCAGAAAAGCTCATGTGGGGCTATCCAGTTGTCAAAGGCTATCCCAGGATTTCATTAAGTTTTATGGCTGTTATTTAATGGATCGATTTCATTCAAAACATCTTCATTAAGTTGCAATCCCTGGTGATTGTGTAATTAATCATCACAGTGCAAATACCTCCTATATGCTTATATATACTCTTATGAAAATGCAAATATATGGAATTCATGTATGTTGTTTGTTTATGTTGTTCCAACGCATAGGTAATAATTCTCATAAAGAGGATGAAAACTATATATAGCAATCTCCTTTTCTGGCTCAAGTGCTAGAAATTCTGATCATTTATAAAACACATTCAATGTTTAGTCCTCATGAAGTTAATATTTGCCAGATCCAACAGATTTACATTCACAAATGGGTTTAATCTGCATCCATCAGCTTATTAGCAAGTTAATAATTGTTAGCTATAGCGCAGTTTTTCTTTGAAAGCACAAAGCCTTTTTAAACAAACACTTTCGACTGAATGGAACTTTCTTTGTTACTGAACTCCGCATGGGACTGGTCGTTTATTCCGCAGTATTCTGATTTATTGGAAGCTTAACTTCTGAGCCAGCTTAATTAACTAAATTTTCAGAAACGTGAAAATTCATATTTCTCTCTCTGTTTTTTCCTAGGGGGATATGAAACCTTTTACTCTCAATATCCTGAGTGCTGTGTCGATGTAAAACCCATTTCCCCAGAGAGAAATGAAATGGAGAGAAACCTCAACAGCCACTGTGAGAAGCAGAGCACCAACCACAAACCGGCTTATGATCAGGTGTGTTTAGGGGAAGTTGTGAATAATTCTCCCGGTCCCCTCCCCCACATAGACATTTTCCAGGGCTTCCTGTTATAATTGACAATTCACTCTGTTATTTTCATCTGGTGCTTCAATTAAGCTGTCAAAGAATGGGTCTGTGGTTTTTCCTGTTTTCCTGGGGTCTTAAGTGCTGAAGGCTTGAGACTAGGATTGGAGCCAACAAATATCACTTAACAGAGCAAACACATTCAAAATGATCTGACAAATGCTGTAGGGGAAGGGAAACTGGGGGTAAGGAGAACATAGCATTTGCTGCACTTCTGAGGTTCAGATCAGTTGTAGGTTATTTGTTAGGGGCTTAAAGGGAACGGCACTAGGGGAATCCTCTGTCCTCTTTGCAACGTGTTGCCTTCATCTCATGCAAAAAAAAGTCCAAAAAAATTTATAATCTAGTTACCTTAGAATTTAACTACTTATGATATAAAATATATATATATATAAAGTGCGTGTTACATAATATTTTCACAGCAGCCTGCTTCTGCTCCCATTAACTTCCATGATACAGGACTGAGCCCACAGAAAGAGCTTTCACTTATCCCAAGCAATACGAAAAAAAAATCAAAATACCATCTGTCTTATTTTTAAAAAATCCATAATTACAGATGTAGAAGATAGTCTTTGTGGTATCTTGGGACAATAATATTTGTACGAAGTAAGCAATGTTTCAGTAATAGTGTACTGTGACACTTCTTCTTTGTATTTTTATGTCTGATTTTGTAAGCAAGCAGTTTTTAAGTGAGGTGAAATTTGGGGGTATGCAAGACAAATCAGACTCCTGAAAGGGGTACAGTAGCCTGGAAAGGTTGAGAGCTCCTGCCCTGTATGACATGCAAGGAACCACTCCTGCAATCTACAACAGATGCATACTCCTTTTAACAGGAACAAGCCACCAAAGAGTCCTGTGGGTGCCGTGCATCTTGTTGGATCAGGCCCCCAAGTAGCCCAGTTGAAATTACTGGGGCTATTCATATGCTAGATCAGGGGTCGGCAACCTTTCAGAAGTGGTGTGCCGAGTCTTCATTATTCACTCTAATTTAAGGTTTCATGTGCCAGTCATACATTTTAACATTTTTCGAAGGTCTCTCTCTATAAGTCTATAATTAAAATGCAGAGCCTCTCCGACCCCCGGACTGCTGGCCAGGACCCGGGCAGTGTGAGTGCCACTGAAAATCAGCTTGCATGCAGCCTTTGGCATGCGTGCCATAGGTTGCTTACCCCTGTGCTAGAAGCTGGGAATGGGTGACAGGGGATGGATCACTTGATGATTACCTGTTCTGGGGCACCTGGCATTGGCCACTGTCAGAAGACAGGATACTGGGCTAGATGGACCTTTGGTCTGACCCAGTATGGCCGTTCAGGATACTGGGCTAGATGGACCTTTGGTCTGACCCAGTATGGCCGTTCAGGATACTGGGCTAGATGGACCTTTGGTCTGACCCAGTATGGCCGTTCTTATGCTCTTATGAGTGAGAGTGGGAGGACTAGGTTCTGTGAATAGTATATTGTTTAGAAGATCAATTTCTCTGATGAGGCCACGCAGGATAGGTACTTCCTCTTTGTGGGATTTCCACTGGGGAAATCCTCATAACCACAAACACACCCAGGGGAACACTCCTGTTTACAGCTCTCAGTCTGGGGTCAAGATGATTTCGTTCAGTAGGGTTCTGTTTCTGGAACCTGGAGGCCAGTTTTGTCCGGAGCAGGCTGAGAATGTTCATTCCTTTTTCCTGCTGAACAAAACATTTACTAAAAGGGCACTCTTTTGGAGGGGGTCTCTAGGTGACTTGTAAAGGGGAAAGCACTCGGATTCCAGCCGCTTTCCCAGCACGTGCTGAATAACCGCATTAGGAGCCAGACTAAGGCAGGTATTCAGCATAGTGCAAATGAAGGCTGTGCCGTTCAGCCTGGTTGCTGTGCAGTGAGCGCACCATGGGAAAGTTACCTGCCAAATTCAGTCACTTTGAAATGCTTCTCTGTCAGGCTGTGTTTTGGGGTTTTGTTCCCCTCCTCCCCCACATCTAGTCTTTACTTCCTTTCGTGGAAGAAGGAACAGAGATTACATCTCTGGTGGCAGAGAGCTGTGGGTGGCCCAGAGCAGCAGGAGTGAGTGTTTGGTGCATATGACGTGGCAGAGTTCTGTGCCTCCATGTTACTGCTGTTAGGCAGGCAGGAAATGGAGGCAGCTAAGCTTTGTCACCAAGGTCGGAGGAGGCTCTGCAAACAGACACCAGCTGTCACTGTGCAAGTCTTTCTTAGGTGTGGGTGAAAAAGGTGCTTTACTCTTCAACCCATTTATGTTTTCAGATTTGCTTTCAAAGCAGCCATACAATTAACACACACACATATCTAGGCATTCGGAAGTCTGCGTGGGGGGGATTTGTTTGGTGTGTGTGTGTGTGTTTGTTGGTTACAAATTAGGTTCCGTGAGGTTTCTTGTTAACATACTTTGTGTGCGTGGGTTCCAAGCCCTGCATTCAAAGCACTAACTGGCTTTCTGGGCACACCTTTTGTGCACTGCTTTGAAATGGCACCTTTTTGTCTCCGCACAATCTCCAGGGAAATTAGCTTCATGTGTGAAAGCACTTTGGGTGGGTTCTAAGGGGAAGCACTTTAAAGAGAGCAGGAAACGTCATGCGCGCGAGTGGGCTGGAACTGGTTTCGGACCTTACAGATGTGGAGAGAAGAAAATGAAAGCCTTTTTCTGTGTGGGCTCTGCTGTTAACAATGATTCACTGGCCAGGATCTAAAACCACCAGACAGGCTCTGCTGAATTTCTCTGTTCAATGATTCTGCCATCACTTAAGACAAAGCTCACTTTGAGGGGGGGAGGGAAAAATCAAAATAACATTTATTTTTATCTTTAACTTCCAGGGTGGTCCAGTTGAAATCCTGCCTTTCCTTTACCTTGGCAGTGCCTACCATGCTTCCAAGTGTGAGTTCCTAGCCAACCTGCACATCACAGCCTTGCTCAATGTCTCCCGGAAAAGTTCAGAGTCCTTTAAAGAGCAGTATTGTTATAAATGGATCCCAGTGGAGGACAGTCACATGGCAGACATCAGCTCTCACTTCCAGGAAGCCATAGATTTCATTGGTAGGTATAGCCATTCTACTGTAACTTTAACAAATATTTAAGAGTCACTGAATTTTAAAAAATCTGGAATATCTGTACTTCTATAGCATCTTTCAGCCAAGGAACTCAAAGCGCTTCTCAAATCATGAGAGGCCCATGATGCGGTCAAGTGTTATACTGATTTCACATAAGGGCAAATTGACATATGGAGCAGTTATGGCTTTTGTTTAAGGTTTCCTGATAAGTCAGTGGTAAAGTTAGGAATAAAACCCAGCAATCTGATCACCTTCTCTTGTCCTAACTACTAGACAACAGACCTAAAAACTAGATCTACATCTGTCTGAATATGAAAATCGCTGTTTAAATACTAAATCTAGATCTATGTACAAAATCCATATGGAATTGGCATACAAATTAACTTTTGAAAGGGAAAACTGCATTTAACCATTTTTTCTTATAAATGAGATTCATTTAAAAAAGATCTCTTCTAGCTAAATGTGGCAACTAATTTACACACATTCCCAGGAAAGGGAAAGCACAAATTATTTTCACAGATACCCAGATGTCATTGCAATTGGCCAAGCTTACTGTAATCATGTATAAAATTAGATGGATTTTTTTTTCTCACCATCAGAGGAATTTAAAGCAGGCAAATAAGGAAAATGTGGACTGGGAGCATAGTTTCTTCCCGGGTCTCTTTTCTAGATTTGTGTAGAGAGCAGAATTTGAGGACAAATATGACTTGCATTCAGGTTTGTCAGGAGAAGACCCAACAAGGCAACTCAGTGGGATCAAGTTGCACAGACTACAGGCATGCATAGGGCAGGGGCATTGGAAACGGTGCTGGAGATAATTAAATGAGGTTTCTTTAGGTGTCTGGAAGACTGCAGCAAACACGCATGTAATTTCAGCACAATAAAGGAATGTTTCCAAAGACGACGGTCTTCCTTCTAGCTTTCGTATGGGGGTGTCCTTTGCACATCAGGCCTTGTTAGGGTGACCAGATGTCCTGATTTTATACGGACAGTCCCGATTTTTGGATCTTTTTCTTATATAGCCTCCTATTACCCCCCCACTCCCTGTCCCGATTTTTTACACTTGCTGTCTGGTCACCCTAGGCCTTGTCCAAAGCCTATTGAAGTTAATGGAAAGACTCCCACTGGCTTTCTTAGCCTATGGAGAAGGCCCATGATTCCTAGTGAATACAGGGTTAGCTTAGTATTTATTTATTTGTTTGGGACTCCTAGGCACTACTGCAATACAGTCATGGACCAGAACCCCATTGTGGCAGGCGCTATACAAACACAGCATGTCCCCATTATTGCAGAGCCATTTTGGCCTTGCTTCTCCTTTAAGTCATTTTGATTACTAAAGCCTAGTCTACATGGACAATTAGGTCTATCAACTATCTCAGTGGGGGGGAGAAATCCACATGCTGAGAGGCAGCATTAAGCCGAAGAATTCCATTGACCTAGCTACTGCCTTTCAGGGAGGTGGGATTACCTACGCTGATGGGAGGGCATAGGCAGTGTCTACACTGACGTGCTACAGCTGCGTTGGTGCACCTGTGCCACTGTAGCATTTTACATGTAGACAAGTGCTTAGTAACTTAGGGTATGTCTACACAGGGATAAAAGACCCATGTGCCACCTGCGGTTGGCCTGGGTCAGCTGCCTTGGGCTCACCGGGCATGGACTGCATGGGGAAAAATTGCTGTATTGACTTCTGGGCTTGGGCTGGGACCTGAGCTCTGGGACTCTGGGAGGGGGGAGCATCTACACAGCATTTTTTCAGCATTGACGGAGAGCCCAAGTCAGCTGACCAAGGCCAGCTAAGGGTTTTATATCCCTCTGTAGACACACCCTTAACTTTTGCTTTTGAGTAACTCTAACTTGCATAAAATTGGGAGGCCTTCTGAAAGATCCAGACCTCCCCTCTCAGCACCAGGATACTGGCTAGACCTAGATAGGGTTAATGGCATGGCAATTAACTGTGGAGCACTACAAAAGGAAGGCACAATGTAAAACACAGAGTAGATGGGTGTAACCCTGGGTGGAGACTTGAGCTATTGATCATCATAAAAGGGTGGCTATCAATCACATTTGAAAGGAAAACAGGGAGGAATCAGACATTCATTATGAAGTCTCTTCTTTCTGCCTCTGTTGCTGGTAGTTTAGTTCGGTCATTCAGATTCAGCTGACGCTTAGAAAGCCAGGGGTAGATTGCAGGGTGTAAAATACATTTCTAGCCTCTAATTGCTTTCTGGTTCTGATGAGTTATGGGTTTTTTTTTACATGTTTTAAGGGGAAACTCCAGTGCACCACAATCAGTAGGGAGTTTTTAATTATTTTTTCCCCCCCTCTTCTGGTAGAAGTTGAGTCACTTAGAACTCTCCAAACACTTTGAGGATGGCTCAACTTTTGGTTTTCCCTTTTATTTCGAACATGGTGGGCGCTGTAGATGCCTGTGGCACTTCAAGCACATAGATTATTTTGTACCACAACTAAATTTAACCAACTGCTGTGGATTTGGGCCTTTGCCAGACAACAAAAGGGGAAAGGAAAACGATAACGTGTTCAGGTTTCTGTGTTGTTTCAGGGCCACGTATAGAGCACACACTCGTCTTCCATTCCTCAGTAAACTCGGGAACATATTTCTCAAGCCAGCCTGACCAGAGAATTTCTATTTTCAAACTCGATTTTTATGGAAGGAGCTTATTTTAAATATTTTTCTTTAATCTCACAACAATAATTGTGTTGTGTGAGTAACCTCAGTGCCTCCTGATGTGGAAAATGGTAGTTTGCACAAGCCATTTATATCCTGACTTAAGTCCAAGTATCCTTTAACTGGGCTATAATTAGAGACTTTATACTATTTATTGTGCACGTTGTGGTGGAAGCCACAGGAATCAAGCTTGGCATCCCCACACAACTGTAAGTGGGGGTGGGGGGGGCATACTAGAAAGATCCAGGGCAGGGCACAGAGATGGTATTTCATGCTGGCTAAGAGCCTATCTTAGCAGTGGTGAGAGACTTTGCTATTACATAGCAGTGACCCAGCCATGTTCTACAGCAGTTCTGCCCTGCCAGCAAACAGGTGCATGCTCTGTTACAGCTCTGTTACGGTGCTGTATTTCTCCTCTAGTTTTGTGTTATAACGGTCATTTTTGCTATGTAGATGAACCCTCAATTATGTATCTTCACCCACTGTGCTCGACAGCTCACTGGGAGACTTTCAAAGATGGGTTGAGATACTTGCCCAGTGAAAAACACAATAACTGTCTATCTTCCAGTTTGGGACCATTTAAGAGGGTTTGTAGGTTGGTGTTTTGGGGGTATTTCTGCAACACAACTGTCAAATGAGGGCAGATAGATGTAATGTTGTCTCTCCAAACCAAAGTGAGGTTCAGGTTCATCATTTCCAAAAACACTAGTTGCCCTAGTGACCTTACCCAATCAAACTCAATTCTGCAGTCCTGTCCCAAGTGAAACTCCTACTGAGTATGATGGCAGCTTTGTCCGGGTTAGGACAGCAGAACTGGGTCCATGCATTGATGACTTTGAGCACTAACAAAGAAAATGTTACACTAGCTGGAAGGGCAGCATCATACAAATGCCTGTTGGGTACCAAACTCTGTCCCACAAAGATGAACAAATACAACATTCTGTGGAATTGCTGATACTTCCCACCTTTTCTTTGTAGGAAAAGAGAATTTGTTTTAATTTTTTTGCAGAAGAGAAGGGAAAACGACTTCTTAAAATTAGAGTTGGCACCAAAGGGACAACTCTTAAGCAGACCCCAATCTGTATTTTGACTCAGACCCATCTCTGCTTGATTATGAATTGTTTGTGTATCAAAGAAGAGGGGGACTCTCCCTCTTCCTGGATGACTGGACATGTGGCTTCTTCTAGATGATGCATTTTGTTTTCGGTGTCACTTGAAATGGCTATTGCAGCCTGCTTCCTGTCCGTAATGAGAACTAATGTCTGTGATGAATTATTTCTTTCCAGACTGCGTGAGGCGAGCTGGAGGCAAAATCCTGGTGCACTGTGAAGCCGGAATTTCACGCTCCCCCACTATCTGCATGGCTTATCTCATGAAAACGAAAAAGTTCCGCCTGGAGGAGGCATTTGATTACATCAAACAACGTAGGAGTCTGATCTCACCAAATTTTGGTTTCATGGGCCAATTACTACAGTATGAGTCAGAGATCCTGTCTTCCACTCCTAGCCCCCCTGTTGCCTCATGCAAAAGGGAAGCGGTGTCTTTTTTTGCAGAAGAACTGACTTTAAGCAAAAACTTTGAAGGCTCATGTTACACATTTCCTACCTCAGTCTTGAGTTCTGTGCCCATTCGTTCTCCTGTCCATCAGCTAAAACTTAGTCCTATTACTGCATCTTCATCATGCTAAACCCTATTGGAAATGAGAATATATGTTCCTTTGTTACCAACTGTGATTCCAATAAGAACATTTCATGAACGTGCAATACAGAAGGCCTCACTGATTTATTCCAAAACAGAATAGTCATAGTTGGTGATAACTTGTGTATATGGACACTGACTACAAACAAATGTGATGTACGCAGGGCTGGCTTTCTAGAGATTTAATGTCCTCTTTAAAAACAAACAAAACAACACTGCTTTTCTAAGTTTTTAATCAGTGCAACCACTACTGTACTTCCAGATCCCTATGGAACAATGGAACCCCTTCCACGTAAAAGGGTCAGACCCATACAACTGTCTCTCGGTTACAATTTTTCAAAGAGATAGGAACAGCCTTGTTTAAAGTGTAAGCAATAAACAGTATCAGGAAAGAGCAAGTCAAATGAAAAGCACAATCCTTGAACTGACAGGGAGGGCAAGCACTCTAATATTCATTTTGCCTGTTTCCTTGCTGTTTGTTTCATGCGTCAGGGATTAAGCTGATCTGAAGCTGGGGTTAGGAAGAAACTTCCTTTTGTGGTTTTATTAGTGCAGAATCAGGGGCATTAGAGGGGGTTTTCACCTTTCTCAGAAGCATCAGGCATTGGCCACTCTCTGTGACAAGATATTTGATTACATGGACCATTGATCTATTTAGGTGTGGCGTTTCCTGTGTTTCTGCATTTGCCTTTGTACTGTATGTGCTTTTACCTAACGCAGAGAACCAGGGACTTTAAATGAAGTGATCAGGCTATCCTGCTGAGCTATTAATCTCATCTGTTATTTAAGAACTGCCCTGTAATACTTGAACATCTATCTAACCCTCCTCAAAGTTACTCTTCCATCCATTGAAACTGTAATTGGTGGCATTTAGACTAAAAGTCTGAGCCCCGTCCTCTGACCCCTTCAAAGTGTTACTGGTTCGTACTATGTGGAGAAAAGTGGTCTTGTTCAGTGTTACATGGCTTGCTGTCATATGTATGGTCACTCCCACCTAATGTTTCTTCTGGTAAAATTGTCTCTCACGAGGGGACTGACTGTCTTTTGTGTTGAGTTTCTGTGTCTGCAGGGAGTTCGGTATGTGCTGCTGCTTTGTCCGTTGACTTTTTTTATTGTTGGTTTTTTTATATGGGAAATAGCAATAATTCCCTGAAGATCTTGTGAATGTGAAAGAAAAACTGAAATGTTTTCATGGAGTGTAAAATAAAAGAAAAACTGTTGAAAAATTCTGCTTGCTTTGTTTGCAACAAGTCCATTAGGTTCATGAAAAGCTTGTGCCATGGAGAGAAGTGAAAGCAGTCCATGGCAGGTATATTGAAAGAGGAGAGAGTAAAAGCAACTGGGCTACCTGCAGAAGGCCCCAAAAGGATTGATTTATTTTAAGAAGACTGAACCACAGGAAACCCGGTGGTTTGTGGGGACGCTCCTATGTGACAGCTGCCATTTTGTTTGTGAGCAGGGACTGACCTGGGGATTCCCAAAGTAAAACCATGAGCCTTTTACATCTTGAACTGAATGACTTCGGTCCTCTACCTGGGAGCTGTAAGAGTTCTGTGAATGGAGCACAAAGGGGTGGGGGAAGGGACATGTAGTACACAGCAAACTGTGGGGGAGGGTGATGTTTGGAACCTGGAAATTCCATGTGACATGTCAGAGTGTCAGAGCCATTTCTTGTCCAGAAACCAGCTGCAAGTAGCAGTTGCCATGAAGCCGCCCTTGTGATGTTCCTGGCTCAGCACTACACCCTGTTCTCTCCAAGTTATCTGAATGAAACGTTGTGGCTCCTCTACAGATGGATGAGCTATCACACAGCATTTGGAGGTTCTGTAAGAGAGGCTAAACTAAAGGGAAAGGGGGTGAGGGACAGGGCAGGGGAAGAAGAGGGTAGGTGAGGCGGGTGTGGCGTGAAGCTAAGGTGAAGAGATGGGGAGGGTTGGAACAAACAGCCAATCAGCTCAGGGCAGAAAAAGTCAAGTCAAAGCTCTGAATGTCCAGAGATCCCTGCATTGGCTGTTTCTGCTCCTTCTAGCTGGAGTCTCTGGCTGGCTCCAGGGGGCAGTGGGGAGCCACCACCTGGGTCCTAGTGGTCTGAGAGTGGGGGTGGTCTCAGGATCCAATGGGATGCTGGAGAAAGGGGTGACCCCACTTGGGGCCCTACATAGCCACACTCCCCTCCTTTGGCTGCTTCTGTCCTGACTGGCTGGTGTCTCTGACTCTGGCCTTAATGTAAGTACTAGTAATAACTCTTTGCCTTTATAAAAAGAACAGGAGTACTTGTGGCACCTTAGAGACTAACACATTTATTTGAGCATAAGCTTTGTGGCAGCTTTCATCAGAGGCAGTCTGAATGCTTTACAAGAGAGGGGCCAGAACTGTTCCCTTGAGCTGAGGAAACCGAGGCCCAGAGCGTTAAATTGGTTGGAGGTCGCTGTGTGCGTCCGTGACAAAGCTGGGAATAGAGCCCTTGCCTCCCGCCTCCCATTCCCGCGGTTCCCATATGCCAGGCTGCCTCCCTCGCAAGCTCTGCAGTATTATCCATCACTTGTATTTCTCCTATGTCAAAACAACGTATGGCTCTAGCACGGCTCTAGCACGTATTCTTTGTGCATTAGGCACTTTGCTAAAGGCCACTTTCCCCTCCCCCACCTCCTCCTCCCCAGTGACTCACATAAAGATGATTTTCTGTCCCCCAGTGAAAGCGTGATGTCCAATCTGAGCTACTAATGGCAAATGCATCTACAAGCTGTCAGAAAAAAGCTAAGCCAAGAAATTGTTCTGTCCGGTATTGTTCTACAGCAGATGCAAGAACTACAGCACAGCTGTTGTCTTCCTCGTGTTTGCCACTCCTCTCCCTCCCCATAATCAATCGGTGGGTTTCCATACTAGTCCCTGGTTGACTCTTCCACAGCTGCTGCACTGCTGTAGACACCGCTTTCTAACCCCCAGAGATCCCAGACAACTGTCTCACTCCCTGCCTCTAGCCCACCCTCCGACACTTTCACCGGCTTCCGATCCCATCTCCAAATCCTATTCACGCCCCGTTCACCCACACTCAGCAACCTCAGGCCTAGGCTGATCCTCTTGACTCTCCGCAGCCAAAAGCTACTACACTATTTCACTGATGCTGTCCCATCTGTCTGGAGCTTTTCACCCCTTCTGAGTCACAGCCTCTCTCCAAATGGCACTATCAGACTTCCTTTTCCTCTTTGGCACAGCAGGGGTTGCATGAGGCATTTTGTGGCCTGGTGGGGGAAGGATCCTTTATAAACATAAGCTGTTATCTTCTAGAGCCATTAATCCTCACTTCCAGTGTGACGTGGTACCAGTCACCAACAGTCGCAGCTCAGGAGGTATACGTGTTAATCCCTCTGAGAAGCCCGGATTTAGCCCCTGTTAACAGTGAGTCAAATCAAGTCCTGGCATAAGCAAGTGCAACACTATGCTTGCCCCCACCACCATTGAGTCTGGTCTTTGAACCTTGCGAGCTGTGTTGAAAAGCATTTGAGAACTGTTGTTTGACTTGCCAATAAGGTGGTTGTGGTTTTTTGTTTTGTTTTTTTTTGCTATCACATGTCACACTCTAGCAGCTCCCTGGCCTTTTAAAAGGGTTAGAAGTCTGACTATGGAGAGAGGTTGGTGAAAGTTCATGCACCTCTCGCATTGATGTTCATTAATTGGTTTTAAGGAAGGTCTATATTGTTCTGTGGTGATGGCGGCAATAGATTTCTGCCCCCCCCCCCGCCCCTATTTATATGATTACGGGCCTTCTCATTGCAGAAGCTACTCCACTGAAGCTGTTTTCACTGAAAAAACAGGTGTATTTTTACAGTGAGTTATCTAGTGGCGATAGGGCAATGTAGTTTTTACCTTGACTAGCTACATTGAGATAAACCCCAGGTTAGGGGTCTAGAGTTAAACTGGACTAGCTACATCAAAGTTAAAAATGACCTGCACTTGGTTTCCACTGGAATTTTACATCAAATTAATTATAATTCCACTCTTTTTGCAGTGAAGCCGTAGCTTGAGAGTGACCTACTTTAGTTGTTTATTTTTTAATTCCTTGCTTTCCCTTGGAGACAATTTTCAGGAGACAAAAACTGAATGAACATGGTTCTCTGCCAATATTGTAATGTGTGTGTTAAAAATAACACTGAGGGTACCAAAAATTCAAAGGACCAAATTCACGCTAGGCATAACTCAGTGAAAGGCAATGGAGTGCCACCCAGGAGGAGTCTGACCCCCTTTTCATGGGGCTGTGCTAATGAGAAGGGAAAGACAAAGTCTTTTCATTCTTTTGGGGGGGAAAGTAAGAATGAATTTATAGAGCCTCATAAATGTGGAAGTAAGATTTTTGGCAGGGGAGGTGTTACCACCACCACCACACATTACACTTCCCTGACATTTGCTTTATCACATTGCAGGCTTTCTTTGAGACATGAGTAAGTCCTCTAAATAAGGAATATGAAAAATAGATCATGAGATAGGTTGAGTCATCGAAGTAAATCAAATGAAGTGCTGGTACTTGAGTTTCAGTTGTAAAGTCCCACTTTATTTCATATTCATATTATAAATGATGGGGCCATTTCACTCCGATTCCATCTCAACTTAAAAAGTGTAAGTACTCAGCCATTCATGAGGCATTAAGGATTATGAGATAAATTCAGTTTTCCATTACCAGTTATGATGCATTTCTTTGCCCTGGCTGCATACTTAATGCACGAAGTGTACAGGTACATGCAACGAATATAAAGGCTACAGAACAAAACAGCCTCTATGCTCATGTCCTAAATGTTCAGCTGTTGTTTCAACTTTGTTCTCCTGAGGGTTTGTGTCAGTAAAATATCCCTTTAAGGTGCGGTTTTCAGAAGCGCTCAGGAGTGGCCTAACAGCTCATAATGAAATCAGTAGGAGTTTTTTTTTTATTATTCATTATTTGTATTAAGAGCTCTAATCATGGACCAGGATCCCATTGTGCTACGTTCTGCATAAACAGAACAAAAAGACGGTCCCTGCCCCAAAGAGCTTTCAATCTAAGTATAAGGCAAGAAACAATAGGTGGATACAGACCAACAAAGGAAGGAGCACATGGAAACAATGAGACAATATTGCATGATAGGCAGTGGTCTCAATATACCAGTTGGACAGAACATCATTAGTTCTTCCAGTGGCTTCAGTGGGAGAAGAGTTAGGCCAATGCCGAGCAGGTGAAAATCCCACCCTTAAAATATACTTCTCTTTCCATTTGCCTCAATTAACTTTTCAGCAAAGTACGTTACGTGGTCATCATTCCTAGCCTTGAAGTCCCTGGGCTACTCGTATTAGAAAAGCTACTCACATGGGTGGGTGTTTACAGATCTGGGCTCCGTGTCCCCAAAGCAAAGCTGGATTGTAGTTTTTTCCGTGTACCTATTCTTTTTGTTAAACGAATGACTTGTGGTTTATGTCTGTCATCGAGTGACACTCAGTTTCTGAGCTTTCTGTGCAAGGCTGACGGGATTGGATAACGAGTCAGCAATAATCCTTAAACTGTACTACACTGGATTCCACTGATAGGGCCTAACCCAAAACCCATTGTGGGCAGCGGGAATCTTTCCATTGATTTAACTGGGCTCTGGGTAAGGCATATGGCGAAAGAATCTCACCCCATCCCCCGAATAGCTTTACTTTAAAAGTGGGTGACTGTAACTGGAATTCCGAGTTGTGCTGTATTTCTATTTATTTATTTTTATAGAACTCTGACTAGAGAGAGCCACACCCAAGACCCAATGTTTTTTGAGTGTCTACATTAGCACTTGCAATCATGTTAGTTAAGTCAAGCTAATTGGAAATCAATCCATTGGATTTAAAATATAACCCAAAGCTGTAGCCTAGGCGAGCCTGGAGGTGACTACTCGAAGACGTGATTTAATTAAAAAATGGTTGCTTAAGCGTGGTAGATTTCTAACAAAGATGGAGTAAACTTGTGCTTGTTACTTTTAGGGACGCTTTGAATCCTAAGCCCTGTGGTCTCTTGTGCAAGGTTCACAGTGCCCTCAAACAACTGACGAAGAGGGAGGATGTTTCTGTGGTTAATGTACAGGGCTAGGAGTCAGGTGAGCTGGGAGCAAGGTTCCGGGTTCTGCCACTGATTCCCTGGGCAAGCTTGGGGATCTCATTCAGACGCTGTGTCTCGTCTCCTAATAGTGACACTCACCTATTTCGGAGCAAAGCTTTGAAGCTTTATTCA